GGCCCGGGAGGGTGGCATTCCGCGCTCTCCTAATTCAGCTCGTACATCCCCAGGTGAGGGGGCCTGGCCACCTAAGTTAGCCTCCTTCCTGTGCTGCCTCGGCCATCTTGGAGGATGTTAGGGCTCCTGTATCAGGCGCTCGCAGGTGGTGCCTTCCATTCACGATGGCCTGAGTCTCTTGAAAACTCACGAGCAGGGACAGCTGACTCCAAGTTTCTACCTGGTGCATGGTCACCTTCAGGTCACCTTGTCCCTGCAGAGCTGGCTGCATTCTCCAAATCCTGTGCAGATTCACATGTGGCGTGGTAAACTGGCTCAGTGGGGTTGATGGTTTACTTGGCTGGGTTGTTGTAGCTGAGCTGGAGCCAGACAGCTAAGGAACAGGACGGTTTGGAGGATTAAGGTTCCTACATGCTTTTAAGAGGTTCAGGAACCAGACGCCCCCAAATGACAGTCTGACAAGCAGGAGCCAATGGCCACTTTCTGTTCATTTTTCAGGCTGAGATGAAGACAAGCATTTTATTGGATTTTAATTTGAGACCAGTGAGGCTCCCACACCAATCAAGGCTTCTCCTGCTTGTGGCCTAGAAGGGCTTCTGCTTTGAGAGGCTGATCTGAGAGTGACCAGGAACTCGGTCAGATGCACAGGGGCACGGCACTAGCTCCTTGCATGAGTAGCGGTTCTGGCTTTGTACTGGTCCCCTAATGTGCCAAGCGGGCTCTGCATGCACACACGGTGTGTGTGTGTGTGTGCACACGCATGCCCGCTACCATGGCATATACCAGTGGGTATACCTTTGTAGCCTGGAGTCACATTGCCTTTGTCTGATGGTGAAAATGATACCTGAGCCTCAAGGGACGATACTGGGCCTATTTTTCCCGGCAGAAAACTCCGAGTCTTCTCGGATCAGTCTCCTCTGCTGAGCCGGTGTGTGACCTGGGCCCCGTTGTTTTGCCTTGTTTGGGCCTCTGCAGGTCTCCAGGAATGACTCAGGATCCACGATCTCTGTCAGCCCTGGAGAGGAGCCAAGCTCATGCCTTCCTTTCTGCTGTCTTCATTAATACTGGGCTCGCGTCCCAGCATTCCTGAGAAATTGATAGAGACAGAACATCAATTGTAGTTTAGCTCTACAATGGGGAAACTCATGGTGACAGGCTGGGGGATTTTGTTGCCAGGGAAGTCGCTAGGCCCTTTCCTGGAGTGGCCCAGGGCTGAGGCTCCCTGGGCTGTCGTGAGGTCATCGAGTGGGACACAGGACAAGAGCAACAAGCCGCTAATCTGCTAATTGCAGCCTGGCTAAGTGATGTTACCTTCGTGCTTGGCTTTCTCAGACTTGATGAATGGCTCTGTCGTGCAAAAGAACAGACCAAGGCTCCCTCTCCAGGCTTGGAGGAGGCTCAGTGGACCAGATGGAGGTTAGGCTGGGTATCAGGCCTCCTGGAACCCCACTCCAAGGATGGGTGCAGCATCGGGCGAGGAGAGGTGGCCCACTTCAAGGCTGCTGGACTCCTCTGTCATGTCTCCCCACCTCGAGGCAGGGCGTGTGCTTGTTTCTCCTCCTTGTGGTCTCTTTAGGTCCCTCTGGTGGGTGAATTTGGAGGGGGTGTCTGCAGGAGCTGGAGGCTTTTGAGGAAGCCATTCCAGGGTGAAAACACGGTGGCCTTTGTACTAGGGACGAAGGACAGGGAAGGTGCCTGCTGCCCAGGCTCCCTCACTGCCACTCCTGTGTCCTTCACCTTAGCCAGCAGCAGCAGCCGCCCCGGCCACCTAGCCCAGAGGCTTGGGGTGCCACAGACGCTTTGTCCTTGTCACTCCTGTCCTCTTTGCCATCTCTTGGAGGTGTCTACGCTTTCTCCCCCATGGTCCCCTCATCGAGGCCTCTCTCATCTTTCCCATGAGGGACCACAGCAGCCTCGGCTTGAGTCCTGCCTCTTAGTAATTGGCTTCCCTCCTTCAGACAGAGTGATGTTTCTAAAGTGACTGTGTGCCAGCTCAGAGAGGAAGGAGCCATTCAGGCCCTTCTGCCTAACCTTTCAGTGGTTTCCTGTTGCCTTCTGGACCAGATGAAGGCCTGCCTTTCTGAGAGAGCGGTACGAGCTGGCCTCGCCACCTCTTCTGTCCCTTTCATCTCGGCCCCTCGGCTGGCACTGTTCTTCCAGCCTCCACAAACCTTTTGCAATTCCCTAAACATACCAGGTCCTCTCTCGCTCCTAGGCCTTTGTGTGTGTTTTTCCTGAGTCTGAAGCTCTTTCCCTCGGCCCTTGGCCAGTTCTGCTTTTTTCTTTGTCAGAGCTCAGTTTAGGGGTTGCTTCTTTGGGATATCTTTTCTGATTTCCTGATCACAGTGAATATATTTCCTATGTACTCATAACAACACATAGAAACAAGCCATTGATTCAGTGAAAGATATTTTTCTTAGTAGATGGTGCAAAGCTTTTCTTAAAGAAGAAATTGAATTTGTTTAGAAAACTATCTCCACAAGTCACTGGTTTAGAAGTGAGGTTCAGACCTGGTTTAACGGGAGAGCAGGAGAACTGGATAGAATCCAGATCTCGGAGAGAAGCGATCTGGGGAACGAGACGGGAGGGTGGTGGAGTCCCAGGGGGCTGCTCAGAGAATTCCCAAGAGCAAGACAACTCATATTCAAAGCTGGGGCAGTTTGGGGGGACATGATCATTTGTCACCACCCTAAACCAACAGTAAAATTACCGTCCACAAGCACATGTGTGCCGTCAGCCCTGGAGGCAGGTAGGTCCGTGGCTGGGTCTTTCGTGTGGTGGAAAAACGCCCACTGAAGAAAGGATGTCCCAGGTGTGTGGGTGACCTCGGACATGAGCTGACCTAGGAAGACTCGGGGCTGCTGAAGAGGTCCTTTGTGTTTCCCCGCGCGTGGCCAGGCGTTTGGACTCACTTCACTTAGATTTACGTGGAGGAGGACCCCGTTGGTGCCTGGCGGGCATTTCCTTGCCTACTTCTTCACTGAGATAAAATTATGAGGGAGGCACATGCTCCACGTGGAGCTAAAAAGGCTGTGGAATAAATAGAAGGAGGAAAAAGAACCAAAAAGTGAGGTGCTAAGTGCTTTTCAGGAGCCATGCAAGGTTTCAGGAACGTCCTAGACAAAACTGAGCTCCCAGCAGGAGCTGGGAAGGAGGAGACCCTCAGGTGCCCTGCGGATTTTGCCCCTTACTGATCAGAACCGTGGCACAGAGGAGCTCCCACCAAGCACATCTCTCCTGCAGGGGAGCTGGCCTTAGCAGGACCCGGCGTGGACGCAGAGAGGCGGTTTAGGGGACAGGCAGGTGGATCAGGGCTCCCGTCAGAAGGAGGAGGCCGGAAGCCCTGGGGAACTCATTTCCCAGTGAGGAGCGATCTGCCCTTCACCAGAAAGCGGGCCTGGAGGTGAGGAAGTCCACAGACGTCGGCAGGACGTGTTAGACCTCGGGTCCTGCTAATACTGTGGCAAAGGCGCCTCCCGGATGGAGGGCAGAGTCCGCGCCAGGTAGCCACAAACCTGAGAGGCTTCCTGCTCCCTAATGAGTTAATTTTGCTTTTATATCTGCTGCTTTTGTTTCATGTTTCCTAATTACCCATATTTTATGCCATCTCTTAAAAATAGGATCAATCCCAGCCCAGATTTTATGCTGATTTACATATCAAAGACAGAGATAAATCTGCTTTTGTATTTCAAGGTGTCAAATTGCTAGAATTTTTCTAAACCTACAATCAAATAAATGCCTGTGGGCTTCTTAATAGGTCACCTTTCACCATGGGGGGCTTCTTTCTCTCCATCTCAAAATTGTGTCTGCAGTAGAACAACCTGAACGGACTGCAGTGATCTTGCCCAGTTTAACTGCCCTGAAGACAGTCTCATGGCGGAGGGACCTAATTGGATTTCTCTCCCGCCCTTTCAAATCCACTTTCTGTACTTCTCCTAACCCCGTCCCTGGCCTCCACTCTCTCTCTAGGCCACAGTGGGAGCAGCTCCTTGGAATCTGGTCTGGGAACAACCATAAGGAAGACAGTGACTCTTTCTGTGTCCAAGAAAGGTCTTGGGGAAAACGTCTCCTGAGGACAAACCTGTGGGTGATGCGGGGCAGCTCTGAGCAGGGAGGAGCTGTCCTGTCTGGGTGACCCCGGGGAAGGGAAATGTCACTTCTGCTCCCTCAGATGCCTTCAGGTCTCCCTTTAGGACCTAGTGCGCCTTTCTCTTCCTTGGAGGAGTCAGCCCTGGGTGGGCTCCTGCACCCCCGGCACCCCTGCCGTGCTGTCCTAGCTCAGAGGCCAGTGCTGCTACCCTGGCTGTCCCAGCTGCTCTGCCCGGCTCTGGCAATTCCCTGGCCTGAAATGTCCATCATCCTCCCTTTCTCCTGGCTCTCTACTCTCCCTGCAGGACTCAGCTGTATTACAGCTTTTTGGGGAGCTCTTCTGAGGCCCCTAGATGGGGGCGGATGCCTGCTTTGAGCTCCCACCATGCCTAATGTCTGCCTCAGTCCCTGCTTTGTTTGCCCTCTATTGAAATGAAGTTCGTCCTTGTCTTTTCTCTCCACCCTGACCTGAGAAAAGGGGGTGCCATCTGAGTGAATATCCAATCCCCCCATTCAAGAGAGCAGGAGGAGGGCAGGAGGGTGAGGCAACGAGACTGGGGGAGAGAAGGTGCCATTGACTTGGGGACCAGCTGCCCGGAGTGGAGAGTGACCTCAGTGCTGTGTCCTCATTTGCTCTTGCCAAGCCTGGCCATGTCCAGGGAGGTGCTGATGGGGACTCGGTTGCTGGGGCTCATGAGGTGACCTCAGGGGTTGGGGTGCCCATGTCCTGGGCCTGGCTCCATTCCCACTGATCCGAGAGCTCTGTCCTAAGGGCCCTCTCCGTCTCCCCTATAAACCGCAGCCTCTGGCTTTGCTCATCGGCCTCTCCCCCCGCACATCTGTGTCCTCTCCTTCTCTCCACTGGGCCCTCTTTCCTGCTTGTTTTCTGGGTGCACTCTCCTATTTTCCAGGTCTCACTGCAGCTGCTATTCCTGGGAACCTCCACTTCTACCCACTCACCGCCTCCGAATTCCTGGGGTGTTGACTCTGATCCTCCAGAAAGAGGTGAGCGGATTGGTCACTGAGGACTTGGCTGCATCTGCCCACCCCTAAGCCTGACCCTGACCAGTGTTTAGGGGATGTTTGGGGCTCAGCAGCTGTGGAAGGCTGTGTAGGGCAAGTTGGGCCCAGAGCTGCAGAGAGGTCGGGGTGGTGAGCAGGGGCAGAGGCAGCAGGTGTGGCGTGGGGTGATTGCAGGGATTTTCCACCCAGGGACCCCTACCTCCCCTGGGATGTCACCAGAAAACCTCTGTGATGCAGGAGGGGCAGCCAGAGCAGGAACTCACACTGTGTCCCGGCGCCGGGCTACGGCCTGAGGATGCCAACAGGGAAGGAATGGGACGGAAGGGAGTACCGGCCAGGGAGACGAAGGCCTGGAGGGGGCCCTCCCATGACCTCTCTGCCTCCGTGAGGGCTGGGGGCCTGTGACGGAAAATCCAGAGGGGCCTGGGCTTCCCCCACTCAGGTGGTGAAACTGGGGCCAGCTCTTCCCATCTGGAGAGGCTACTGCAATGAAGCGCCTGTTTAAAGGCCCCCTGGAGCCGTCCTTATGGGCGCACGATGCAGAAAATAGTTTAATGAGGACAGCAGTCTGCAGGTGCACCTGTGCTAATTCCGCAGACAAAGGCACTAACCTGACAGCTCGGAGAGGAAGGCGCCATTAAGCCTCTTCTGGGAAACATCAGTGCTGCAGGCACACGGAAGCACCTCGGCCGGGGAAGCCGGTGGTGAGGATGTCTGAGGACTCTGTCCATCCTGCCGGCTTAAGACACGCTGCCTCCACCGCAGGCTCTCCTGTGACTGCACCTGCACACTGGGGCAGCAGGGTTCCGGGGTGGGCCGTGATGAGACACCTATAGCACGGAAGGTGGGGAGAACGGGTTAGGAATTCCTACAGGGGGACTTGGATGGTGGGGGAGAGGCCAGAGAACCGCATTTAGAGAATTTAAACCATGGCCCATCGCAAAAAAGGGACTTAGCATCGTAAGCATTTACACGCTCTGTGTGCGTGCACCTTTGCACGTCTGAACCAACGCTGACCTGTACGATGTACTATGCACCCTTCCATTTAAAAACGCTTGGGACCCACTGTAGCTTCTTGAAGTTCATTGAAAAACTGCGAACCAGGCAAACTGGCGTTGAGATGGGAGGGAAGGCCCGGTCTGAGGGCGGGGAAGGTGGCACAGTCTTGTCCTGCGTCCTTGTCCAGGGAAGGCAGCTGTATCTGTTTGGGAGTTTTGTGGTCACGTTCCATGAAATGATCCTCAGATGCTGCCCAGCACAGAGTTCGAGCATTTAGCAGTGACGAAAGATGAGCGGGGCAGGACGACACGGATTCTGTTTCCCCGGATGGGGAAGACACGCTGTTGCCCACTGCGACTCTGCCTCCTTCCCCACGGCCATCACCGCTGGACTCAGCTGCTGGCCAGGTGGATTACTGTCTGAAAGCTGCAGCTTTCAGGGAGGGAGGGGCTCGCTGAGGACGGGCAGGTGGAGATAGCTGGGCGTGACGACTGCTCCTCCCAAGGGGGCTCCCAGGAAGGCTGCCATGCAGGCGGGGAACCGGGTTCGAGACATGTGTTATCTGCTCTCAGCATGTCACGATTCTCTTGCTCTCCCATTTTTAAACAGATGGCGACAAGGGTCAGTTATAAGAGGAGCTAGAATGATGCTAGCAATAACAGAGAGAAAGGTCACTGTGTTGAAAGCGGCCACCCGGAGGAGAGTGATAGACCAGAAGTCAGGTCAGGGAGCAGCCAACAAACTGCTCCACCTCTTGGATGAGTTTTTCTTCTTGCAAGTTCCGGGCTTTCTTTTGCAGCCAGGAGCTCTGAGTCCCTGCCACCTGAATGCACCTCTGTCTCAGCCCCAAGTGGTAGGAAATGACAGGACAGGTGAGTGTTGGGAGGAGTTGGCTCCAAGCTCCAAGCTGGGACCTGAGTGGAGAGCTCAAAAGGGACCTCCGAGGCCTGCAGGGCAGGGGCTGCTCCCAGCTTTGGGGCTGAGCAGTCACAGACACTCTGGACACAGCCAAGGAGGAACCTTCTTGGACTCTTCTGGCTCACACAGTGGGTCTTTCGTGGTGGATCTGGTGCACTGTAAAAACAATGGGCCCCCTTCCTGTTCCATACTGTACTGCTCAGATGTTTCGACCTTTCCTCTGTTCCCTAAAGGGAGCCAACAGTGTTGGAGCGAGAGGAGAGGAGAGCCAGGCAGCTGAGCCTGAACGTCTGGATGTGGCCTGCTCTGCTGGGTAGACTAAGCCTCAGAGGCCGTTATGGTAGATCTAAAATACCCCTCTGAAGTCTCTTTTGTTGGAGCAGGGCGCCTGGAAGGTGTGTGGACCGTGGGGGTGCTGCACTCACCACTGAGTTAATCTACTGACAGATTCGTAGTTGTATGCGCTGCTAGGGGGTGGGACCCAGTTGGAAGAGTTAGGTCACCCGAGCACTGCGGTCCCCAGCAGATGCCTTTCCTCTCTCCTTCCTGGCTGCGGCTTTCCCCTGCAGTACCCTTCCTGCAGGTTCTTTCCGCTTCGGAGCAACCAACCACGCACTGCACCCTCTGAAATCCATGAGCCACTGTAAGCCCCTCCTCCTGTATGCTGTGGGTGCCAGGCATTTGTCCTGGGTAAGTAAGTAATTCAGCGGGTGTGTGGGTCTGCACATCTGGGACCCGTGCAGGCCTGGCCTGTCTGTTAAATTCTGGTGTGGAGTCCCTGGCTGGCTCTCTCTGGTCCTGCAGTGCCCATGTTTAGATGGCTCTGCTTTCCTCTGCAGTGTCCCCTGTCTCAGCTCCCAGGACAGCAGATGCTTCCACTGGGTCTGAGGGCCCTGGCTGAGCCAAGCTGCTGCCTGTGTGGCTTCCTGCTGCACCTCACTGGTAACCAGATGGCTTGGTATGTGCCTGGGGGTGCCAGGAATACCGTTTTGCAGGAGTGGAGGCCCAGAGTTCTTCTTTTGGTAGATTTAAGCCTCTGCGTGATACCTCTCTCTTCTGCTCTGTAAGTAGCCACCCAGAATGACACCCTGCTCACTTGTCAAACACAGCGGCTGCCCCTGCAGACCAGCGCACAGGGCAGAGCTTTCCTCAGCAAGGTCAGGGGCCTTGCAGCTGGGTCTGCAGAAGTGCAAATGAACACTGTTTGTTTGCGGAGTCTGCTCTATGTCTTGTTCCATGCTGTGCCCAGAGCAGGGAATCTCCTAAGGTGGCCTAAGGAGGAGTTGCGGGGAGGGGCCCCTACCTGCTTGCGGTCTCAGGGGACTTTCTGGAAGACACTGACCTGGCAATACCCTCGAATATGGAGGTGCCTCCCCGGCAGCCACAGATTCTGTCTTCAGGCTGTGATTGGCCCAGCACAGAGGGGCTGAAGGGCCCCTTGGAGAACTGAAGCTGGGCTCCAGTCTCCAGTCTTTGGTCTGGAGAGCTGGCAGGGGTGGTGGTGGTGGTGGTGGTGGTGGTGCAGGATAGGCTCCTCCTGTATACTCAGGAGTGGTACCAAGGACTGGTGCCCGGGCGCTGGTATCAGGAAGGTACAAGCAGCATCTTTTCACTTGTGGATCCAGCTGGCAGCTGGGGAGGGGATGGTGTCCACTGGAGGGCACTGCAGCACCACCGTGGACCACCTCTAGCAGCCCCTTTACCCTTGGAGAAGAGCTGGTCACAGCCAGGAGGGCGCGGAGACCAGCTGGTTCCCTGCCCAGCGATGACCACTAATTCCTCTGGGGCTAGGCCCTCAGCAGGGAGATCAGCCCGCAGCTCCACACGCTCATTCACGCAGACTCACACGGAGCCACGTGTTCACCATCACGCACATCCACGCACAGGCGTCCGGGGTACCACACACACCCGCACAGCCATGTGAGCGTGTGCACGCCCAGCCTGTGCTTGCGCAGTGCACGCCGTAACCTGACCCCCTCCGGCCATGTGCCTCCCACATGCTGAGGGCCCGCTGCAGCTGTTTGTGCTGTGGAGCTGATGTAATGTCAAGAAATTTCGTGTTATATTTAAAATGACACCTGTAAAAATAATCTTCAATTTGTAATTTAAATACTGTAATACTCAATTATGTGAACTGGCAGGAAGTGTCCCAGTGGCTTTGGAGAACCACATTCCTATGCGCTGCCACCTCCCTGTGTCCTGGGAGCCATGAGGTGGGACCAGCCTGGCCTCCTTCCTGAGTGACCTTCTGGGGTGCTGAGCCTGATGCCCTGAGCTGGTGCCCGCGGCTGCTGCCCAGCCTACATGCATCTCGTTTCCCCCTGCAAGTGGCTTCCTGCAAGAACCCCTCCTGGGGTTTACTGAGGCGTCCAGAAAACAGGGTGCTCCCTGGAGGGGCGCGGAGGCAGTGGGACAGTGCCAGCCTCTTGCAGCTCATGGTCCAGCAGCACACAACACCCTCACCCTGGAGCCTCTGCGGCTCCCCCAGCCTCATACAGGCAGTGTGACATCTGTCCATAATCCGCAGCTCTGGAGCCCAGGGCCCCAGTCCTGAGGACCGCGTGGCTTCTCGGCTGAGCACACAGCACCAGCAGCAAGGTCAGGTCCACCACAGCTCCGGTTACCCCTCCACCCAGCCTCGGCCCTGCCACTTAGGCCCTCAGCTCTGGCCACGCACCCCACCGACCTCCAACCTGGAAGCAGGCTGCAGACCCGCTGGGTGTTAGCCCACAGTGTCTGATGGGCACTGGGCGCTGGATTTCACTCCACTCCCAGGCCCTCCTCCTCCCGCTTCTTTCCTCTGTCCGCAGGTGACTGCTGGCTCCCTAGCTGACCATGCCAGGACTCGGACCATTGCTCTTGACCTCCTAAACTCCTCTGCACTCTGTCTCACGGCCAGCTGGTCACCCAGCTGTGTCCCTGCTACCCTCACAGTCTCTCTCTGCTGCCTCTACCCTCTCATCTCCGTTTGACCTGGGCTCCTGGCCACTGGCTTCTGATTCATTTCCTTTCCCACAGAGGTGGAGGAGCGGCTCCTGGGCAGTGCATCCAGGCTAACTTTCTGTGGTGGTGGAAACGCTGTCCGCTGTGCTGTTCGATACGGTAGCCCCCGCAGGCCCTGTGTGTCTCTGAGGAATGCACACGACTTTTACTTTTATTTAAACAGCCACGTGCAGCTTGGGGCTCTCGCCTTGGGCACTGGGAAGGAAGTTTGTGCGGCCTTCCCGGGCGGTTTCACTGCTGCTTTCTACTCGCTGACCTCTTGGACTCCCCAAGCTCCCCTGAGCTGAGCACACTCTTCCTGGGCCACTGATGCCGTGCACACCGTTCCCTCTGTCTGGAAACTCTCCCCTCCTCTGGCCGCAGGCACATTCCCTGCTGACCCTTGAGACTGTAGGATGCCCTGACCTTGGCACCTGCTGACCTCTGGGGTGCCCTGGGGTCCAGTCTGTGCTTCCACAACACCTGCTGTACCCTGTCGTGCTGTGCTACTCTCTTAGTGAACACAAACACCCTCAGGGCTGGGAGACTCACACTGCCGGGACCGCGACCCAGGTGTACAGTAGCTCAATGCACTGGTCCCTTCCCCATGCGGTCATCTCCTGACCCCGCTGGCGTGGGCAGGGCAGGGAACCTTGCTCTCATTTTACAGATGAGGAGTGAATGCTCATCAAGTCAAGAAGCTCCTTGGCACAGGATTCAACTTTGAAGGTAGCAGGGCACCTCCCGGGTCACTGACGGTGAGGTCTTGTCCAGGAAAATTAGTGGTAGCTGGAGATTACTCCCCTCACTGGCTGTGGGTGCCCGGGGGTTCCTTCCCTGCCACCTCCTCATGTCTCTTCTTTTCATAGCGCACTCAGTGGGAGAAATGTTTTTGGACCTTGCCTTTTGGATTTCTGCATTTTTTCCTGATTCACACCAGACCCGGCATCCCTAGAACTTGGTTATTCTTGGAAAGGATGCCTGAGAATAGGCTTTGTTTGGATTTCTCCTCTCCCTGGAGGAGGAGGTGGGGGAGCGGGGAGCCAGCAGGTCAAGGGCTCTGCCTCCTCTCTTCCTGGGGCCTCTCTAGCTTGCAAGCAAAGCCCGCAGCCCGAGGAGAGCCGTGCCTTCACCGGAAGAGCCTCAGGACGGGAGGAGCCTGCTTGAGGGCCCTGGCAGACAGCACCTTCCACTGCTCCTCACCTGGAAGCTGCTTTTCCGGGGACTCTGGCAGGAGCTCAGCTGTGCGCGTGTGAGGGCTGCTCAGGCAGCCACATGTTTATGTGCTGCCACACATCAGAGACCCAGCACAGCAAGACACAAGCCCCTGTTGCTTCTCTGTGTGTGTGTGTGTGTGTGCAAGGAATGATTATGAAAGCCCACACTTCAATCACAGGAATGCTGAGTGTGTTTGGAAGATCCAAAGATTGTATTTTCCCATTCATTCTTTTTGGGTGCGCGCGTGACAGAGGATGGGTACACCTTATAGCCACGTTCCTAGCCCTAAAGCCAAGGTCCAGGACATAGAAGGCATTTTGTAAATAATCATTGAACAAATTGCTTAATTTTTACTCTTCCTTCATAATTAAAAGAAGTATTACGTATTATAAACGCACAGTTCAGTGAGTTTTTATCACCATGTAGGCAACACCCCCTCAGGATATAAAATATTTTAATTCCATGGGAGTTTCCCTGGGCCTCCCTTCTCTGGTCACTGGTTTAGGGTTTTAGGGTTTACTCACGTGTATATGAGCAGCCCTGCCTTTTGGTTGGTGCTCACTCTTCCACTGCTCTCTCCGCCTCATTTTGTTTATCTGTCTCTCTCCTGATGAACTCTGTAGTTGTTTCCAGCTTGGAGGTTTCATGAATAATGTTGTTGGGAGTATTCACACATAAGTTTCTCTGGGGGGCAAACTTTCATTTCTCTCAGGTAACTGCACAGGAGGAAGTGGCTGGATCCTGGGTAAATGTATTTTTAAGATGTTTGGTAATAAGAAGTTACCAGAGAGTTTTCCAAAGTAGTTGTACAATCTTATAATTCTACCAGCCAGGTGTGAGAAGCTCAAGCTGTTCTGTTCCCTTCTCAGCACTAAACACCGGAAGTCTTTTCAGTTTGAACCACGGTAGTGAGTGTGGCTATAGTCACCGTGCTTCTAATTTGCAGTTCTCTGACCACTAATGATATTAAGCGTCTTTCCTAAGTAAGTTTATTGGTCGTTTGTATTTCTTTTTGTTTGCCTCAATCTTTCTCTGTTTTTATGCTATGTTTAAAAATGGGCTTATGGGAATTAAAAATACAGTCTGGATTTTAGTTCTTTGTTGAAAGCACATACCACGAATATTTGGTAGCTTTTGTTTTCTATGTGTTTTGTTAATTGAGCAAAAATCTAATTTCTCTATATTTTGTGTGTACAGTGCTTTTTGAAAAACTCTATTTGGGAAATGTTTGCCTACTCTTCGGTCCTGAATGTATCCTCCTGTATTTTCTGTTTTCCTTGATGTTTTAATTTAGTGTTGTAAAGTATCTTGAATGACTTTGTGTGTATGCTACGAAGCATGAATAAAAGTTTGGTTTTCAAAGTGTGACTCTTTTGGCCTGGCACTCACTAAATGCCCCTTCTGAGATGGGCAGCAGACCGGGCATGCCATCCTCTCTACAGGCCGAGAGGAGTCTGTGGGTGCACGGCCTCTGCAGATGTGCGGCTCCTACAGGGTCTGCCTTAGGGAGCATCCCCAGAGCGGTGTGTGAGTGTTTGTCATAAAGGGCGCTCTGTGGCTCAGATAGACCCTGTGGCATTTAGAAGGACAAGTTCCTCTGCTTTCACACCCAGGAAAGCTCCTGGGAGCAGAGGGTCTCGAGGGGGACTTGGGAGAATGAAGAGGAATGAGGCTCCCTGATGGCAGGAGAGGACCCCGAACACAGTCAGCAGCAGGGAGCCTGTGTCCCTGGTTAAGGACAGGAGCTCAGAGGAGAGCCAGGTATCGGTATAATCCACAGGTGTGTGTATTGGATCTAATGCTGAGCCTTGTCTCTGTCAGCATCAATGTCTGTGCCTGTGTCGGTATTGTTGATGATCTCTGTGTCTCCAGAAACCTCTGGGCTTAGGAGGGACTAACAGACTCGAGCTTTTGTGAAGTTTGATGACAAGTGTGACAGATACACCACACAGGACAGTGCATGTGTCCACACGTTCATGCCTAAGCCACATCCTCACACATCCTCACTCAGCAGGCCTGCAGAGGTCACCCAGGCCAGGCCCATCCTGGACAGATGTGGAGCTGGACCCCTGTGGAGGAGGATTTGTGCAAGTCTTCGGCAGGTCACTGGCGGGGTTTGGGGTACAGCTCACGTTCCCTGGTTCTGGGCCCTGGATCTTTCCCTGTGCTGCCTCTTCACTCTGGGAGCCGGCAGCCTTTCCACCTCCGCGTTTCTGAACCTTGCAATGTTCTTCCCATCCGTGGATCCTCTGTGGGGCTAGATTAGCGGAATCTCAGCCTTGCTAATCTTCCTTTACAGGTTTGAGATGAACCACCAGAGCTTCTTCTCTTAATAATTTATGGGCTGTTTGAGAGTGGGGCTGTGTTTCAGTGACCTGGGCATCCCTGCCTGGCAGGAACTGGCAGGTCTAACCGTGCTCCACACGCGCAGAACCTTGGGTGCTGAAGTTCGGCCTTGGTAGGGAGCTTGGGTCCACACACTGTGCCAGCCCAGCCGGTAGCTTTTCCAGGCATCGCATGTGGCTGTGATGCTTTCCATGTTCTTGCACAGCCCCCGGACATGACTCGTCCTTGAGGCAGAGGCTGTATGAGGGCCCTTCCCAAGCTCCAGTTGGTCTGTCCTGAGAGGATGCCGGGAGCTGCTGCTTACACTGTAGACCAAAAACTAACGAGGAGCAGGTGATGAGTTCGAGGCCAGCGCAGACAGGGCAGGTGGTGGTCTGTGGGTTCTGAGGAAGCGGAGGGAGTGGGAGGTTCAGGAGAGATGGGGTGTGTCTTTTGGCCTGAGCCTGCAGGCACCGTGAAGCTGGAGCCCTTTGGCTTCTCTCGTGGGTTCCATCCCCCTTCCCTCCCAGAGCTGGTTCCCCTGGGAGCCCTGAGCATGGCTCTTCCCTTCCCTGGCAGCAAGTGCTGCTGATTGGGCTGGAACATCGCTGTGAGATTCCTCACGACTCGGCGTGCCCTGGAGGGAGGACACCCGACTGACCACGCTGTCCTTCTTCTTGGAGCCTGAGTGTCCCTTGGAATCAGAGTCCTTCTGTTTATTTTCTCAGAGCCTTAGAGATGGTTCCTGCTGACTTAGAGGGAAGCTATGTGTCCTGTGGAGGAGGCAATGAGAAGCTGTTTTTTTAATCCAAATTTGGGGATGTCTCCTTGGCTCCTGAGCTCTCCTGGGGCACAGGCAGCATTCAGCTTCTGTCCCAGGCTGGAGGCCCCTACCGCTGGGGAGGACGCAGGACAAGAGCAGGAACCCTGAACTTCTGGCCTGGCTAAGCTGGGTCAGGGGCTGAAACTAGGCCTTGGCTCCACCATGGCTGCGTGATCTGCCCTCCAGAAGCCCGCGGAGATGGTCCACAGGTCCCCGGCCAGCTTCGGCTCTGCTGATGTGTCCAACCCTTCTCAGGCCTTTTGATAATTCAGATCTCGCTTGTGGGAGCCTCTCTCATCTGCTTCTTCTAGAAAGTTCTCCCAGGCTACCACTGTTCAATCCATCACCATACTGTGTCCTGATTACCCACCAGTTTGGGGCACTTTGCTTTGCTTTGGTTTCTAGTTGTCTGTCCCAGTGGTCCCCCCGCCAGGCCCCTCCTTTCCTGTGATGGCTCTCCAATGAGAGTGCTGCCGATCTGCCCCTGATTTTCCTGACCACTCAGCACCCAATGGGAGTTGAAAGCCCATCAAAGTTTGTGCTGCCTTGAGGTAGAATCGGACACTCTTTCCTCTGGGTCCTGTGCCAGGCTTCGCTCAGCAGCATACAGCAGGACACTTGCTCGTTTACAGACAGCTTCTGAGCCATTCAAGGACAGAGCCCGTGGCCTTTCCATAATTAACAGTTTACCGAAGTGTCTCTTGAGCAGCACAGTGGTTTATGTGCTGGCTGTCCTGTATGTAGCTCAGGCGGGGGGCTTTTCAAACAGGTGATTCTTGTATTAAACAAGTTTGGTGAAATTGTTGTTTTAATATTTCCCACTATATTAACTTATAAAATCAACAAAATTATGCGGCATTTGGTCATCCTGTACTTACGTAATGGGACTGGTAAGTGGTAATGAACCGGTAGCTCGGCCTGTATGCCACAGGTAGATGGACCAGCAGGCTTCCGAAGGTCCCTTTCACCGGAGAATCTCTCAGGCCAACACATTGTGCCAAGGGGAGTCAACAGTGCCACCATGGATGCCAGGCGGAGGCTGCTGCTGGGACGGCGGGTGGTGCTGAATGTGCTGTCCTCCTCCTGCAGGGCTGAGCTGAGCCCCCCTCCTCAGGGGAGCACAGCAGCTCTTCCAGGTGGAGCACAGCAGCTGCTGCACCTCTGCCCAGAGCTGCCCTGTGTGTCTTCAAGGCGCCCACACCTCTTTATTCTCTGGGGTGCCGGGCAGGGGCTTTGCAGGAGAAGGTAGGTGCGGAAGAGCTCAGCCTGGCCTGGGTGCCCAGCAGGTGGTCAATGACTGCTGTTCCCTCTGTGTGAGGAAATCAGATGCGACCCCCAGGGCTCCTCCCCAGGGGTTATGACTTAGAATGGAGGAAGGCGCGGAAGCACCGTGTGGCTCCCTAAACCTCCCAAGTGGCAGGTTTGGCAGTGTCTGAGGTTTGTAAACTTTCCCTTCCTGGTTCTCTGCTAGTCCCTCTCTTATGTCTGCAGCATCCAGCTGAGCCTTGACACTCATGGTTTGGGACAATCTTGCCTCTCAGCTCCAGTGTGGACCTGAAATGTCCCCCAGAGTCCCCTGTGGTGAGTCCTAGCTACCAGGATGATGTCTCTCCTGGGAGGTGATGCAGCCCAGAGGGAGGTTTAAGGCCCCTGGAGACAGGACTTTGGAGGGACGGGGCCCACGCCTTCCTGTCTTTCACATCCTGGCCATGAGGGGAACCGGCCTGCCCTGCCGTGCTCCTCCACTGTGATGTGTGCTGCCTGGCCCCAGGTCAGTGGGGCGACTCACCAGGGACCGGAACCTCCAAAGCCATGAGCCCAGGTGACCCTCACTGCACTTCAGGTTGTCAGTTGTTTTTAGCAGGAAGCTCTGCAGTGCACCCCCGTTTGGTCCGTGGGAGTCTGGTAGCTGATTCTGGGCAGGGTCCGACCTGGGTCCCGGCACTGTGCCTGGCTCAGGGCGGTGTGTTTGGGGAGCACTGCTTGCCAATGCCAGTTGTATGGCTCCCAAGGCGAAGATCTCAGGAGTTGAGTTAATGAGCTACCTGGGGTTTTCTAAGCTGCCCTAGGGAGTTGTTGTCAGAGTTAGGAACCCCCAAAATGGCCCAGATGAGAGATAGGTGGGAGGGAGGTCAGGAAGACTGGGCCCTGTGTGGATGAAGCTGAGTTCCTGTCCTCCCTCAGGACGGTCAGCCCCTGGGGCACACAGCGGAGCCTCGGCCTAGAAGGCCTTACCGCACAGCTAACGAGCAGCTTCCTAACTTCTAAAGGCCCAGCAACCTCTGGCCAGCTCTGGGCTGCTCCCCAGATTCCTGAGTTTGTTCTGGGCTTCCTAGAATGTGCTTCCCAGCAGATTTCCTGTGGTGCACCCCAGTGTTTGAAGTGGGGTGAAGTAAGCTGATAGGAGCCGTAGCTCAGGCCCGGCCAAGCCTAACTGTCCAGGCCTGATGACACAGGCCAGGCAGCTCTGGCCCTTCCATGTGACTGGTGGCATGGCTGATACTCGCTGGGACCAGACTGGCTTACGAGTCCCAGGAGGGGAGAGCTCAGGTCCAGGGCACGGGCTCTGATGGACGATTGTTATTGCAATGTGTGTGCAGTTGAATGACATCATGCTATTGAGAGCAGGAATTTTTTGTTAGTCTTTTAACACAAGTTTATGTTTTTCAGACCTTAAAACTGCAGGTCATTTTTTACATTTGCTATTGAGAGCAGATGTGACGGATCCCTATCGGGCTCTACTGAAAAACGGCGGGGTTGTGGAAGGTCAAATGCAGACCGCCTTTCAATCTCCATTATTATTTCCTCCACTCAGTGGCCTCAGCAGGAAGCTGACACTTGGTAACGGTGGCCTTCTGAAGGTTCTCAACCCTTTAGCTTTAGTCCCTGACCCTCTGGGAGCCATATCTAGGCTCAGCGGCTGCCAGGGAAGAGGGCCTGAGCTGAGAAGCAGGAGACTCAGCATTTTGTGAGTCTCGACTTCCCTGTCTATGCAATGGGAACACAGACTGGACTGGCAGGTCTGCACTCTGGGACTTGCAGAGATCCAGACTGGGGAGTGTGTCTTGGCATTGCAGAGTATGCCCAGTGATTCGGGAAAGTTCTCAATGATGTGTCGAGTGGAGACATGCTCATTTATCCCCCACTGTGCCACCTGGTGAGTAGAGCTGGGGGAGGGATATGTTGGTGTGAAGGGTGTCCTCTGTGTTTCTGT